TCAGCATGCGCTGACCTCGCTCTGTCATTTTATGTGGTCTACCACTTCATGGTTGAGTTGCTGTTGTTCTTGGTTGTTTCCACTTAGTTGCCAATTCAAATTCAGGTACTTGCACTGCTTGCATTAAAAAAATACAATGAATGGTGTATTATAAATACAGAACTGCATTAATGTGTGTCTTTTATATCTGCCTGGAGTTAAGCTTTAAGGCTGAATGTAACATTTCATATCCCACCCCCTCACAAGGCAAGGAATACATTCTAGCAGAAGGGAAGATCACGTACAAGGAATGAGCATCTCCATCTGCTAGGCATCCCTTACAGTACCACATTACTGTGCATTGCTTATTAACTGGGAAGTGATAGCACTATGTTTGAGAAATTCCATGTCTAGATGCTATGGAGACATGACACATGATTCAATTGTTTCCTTCAGTCTGGCCTGTCAGTCACGTCTGACATTTTCTCTACAAGACATCATCCTGCTTACAACTGCCTGTGGCAGGGTACAGTAAGCATTTAAGAATTGTTTATATATCTTCATTGGGTGTTAATGTGTTCATTGTTCTTTCCCTGTGTGTAGGCGGCTGGGATGCATTTAAAAAGGGAGTTTTTCTCAGCCATCTGCACTGGGAAGAGAAAACAGGAAGACAGTCTACTATGGCATCTGACACTGAAGTCTGCTGCAGACGTCAAGGGACTTATTCAGAAAAAAGAAAATCCCAAAAAAATTCCTCGATTCTGACAGGTGCAGGATGGTCCTTGCTATTTGCCACTGCGGTATCTACAGAATTTACAGTGCAATATAGAGGACACAAGCATGTGTGCAAGGTTTTCAGACTTGTACCCCCTTAAAGTATGTAGTACTACCCTGGTAAGGGCTGCTGGATGTGATTTGGTTCCTCTAAGCTTTGCACTGCCAGGCAACATGCATTTTTGCACAATTGTACTTTTAGAGTCCGTTATACAGTAATTGAGCTGTTTTTTTTTGTTTTTTTTAGTAAGGGGTTAACAACACGGATGGGGTCTAGGGGTATATGGGATGCCCAAGGAACTGCAGAACGTGAGGATGAACTTAACAATAAAACTGTGAACTAACCAAAAATATAGCACTGTCCCTTTTTGGTGTACCTCCTCAGAACCCAGATGAATCATTCTCTTCACCCAGCTGTGCTGTCGCTATTCCCTGGGCAAGGGAATCCCAAGAGCTTACAATTAAGCTGTCCTGGCTGAAGACTAGTTGGATATTGAACCTGACCACCATCTCCCCTCATCTGGCCCAAGGGGTGTAGGAGTACTCACACTGTCCTTGCCTGCTGGCGTGGTGGGTTGGTGGCTGCTTTCAGGCCTTACTCTGGGCTGGCTCCTTCCCTGCTAATAGGCTGTCTTCTGAAGGAGACATTGAGGCAGTAGAGATCCTCCCATCCAGCATCCTGCCTGTAGGTAGTCTCCCCTCTCTGGTGCCCCCTCCCAGGCTCCACACTCCAGCCTTCTCCCTAACCATCTCCCACCTGGCTCCCCTCTCTCCCCAGGCTCTGTCGTATTTGAGGGTTGTCCTGGTCACCATGGCTAGCCTTCAGCCAGGGGATTGACCAAAGTCCTTCAAACATGCAGATCTGGGCTTCCTCCCCTTTCTCCTCCCGTTTCACAAAGTTCTGCAGTTTCTGGAAGGGTGGGAGGGCTCCAGAGGTCTTGACCTGTAGAACCTCTCAGCCTGTCCTGAGGTCTGAGGTAAACTCCTGCCTCACCCCCAGGCTGACTCATCCCAGGCTGCTACTCAGCCTCTATCTAAAAACAGAAAACATCAAAACCTACCTAACTAAACTGGAGGGCATTACAAGTATAACTTATGTTATGCCTTTAGTTCTATTTTAAAGGAAACCTGATCTGAAATAAATACAGGGGATGCCATTTTTTTTAAAACATCCTTTTAAAGACACTAAATGCCTGAATGTACTTTAACTGACTTTGAGTCGCTGTGTAAAATGCATCTAAAAATGCGCAGTGCCAAAAACACAGTGTACATATGTGAAATACTTTGAGTCATTGACCCCCCCCAAAAAAGTACGTATATTAGAAAATCAGACTGAAGTCAGAATTCCAGATCTGTATCCGTGTTCCTGCTCATTGACTCGATTGTACTGGATCAACATGATGGCCAGGCAAATGGCATCTCAGAAGGTCAGCAATAGCAGCCTCCATATTCTTATTTGGGTGATCCGTCGTGGTGCATTTAACACACATGCCTTACGCTGGACATTAATGGACATTGTAATAAGAAAGATTATGCATTTGAATTGCCTGCCAATGCAAAACAAGGAAATGAAAAGCAAGATTTTTATATTTACTGTAAAATCTTTTTCTTGTCTATTAGAGGACACAGAAAGTACTTTCAGTATTTATAACAGAATAACTTCCCATTACAGTTATAGTGAGTCCCCAACACTATGAAGTAACTAGAGAACTATAGTACATAATAATGTTCAAGTTCATTTATCATATGAGCCGACTATATATATAATATATATATATATATATATATATATATATATATATATATATATATATATATTACACTGCTGTAGAGCACATTGAAAAACAAGATTCTTATATTTACTATAAAATCTTTTTCTTGTGTATTGGAGGACACAGGAAATGTAGTCAGCATTTATACTATACTATAATATATATATATATATATATATATATATATATATATATATATGTGTGAAATATACTCGGTATTTATACTATATTACATATTAACTATTATATTCAGTATTTATACTAATATATACATATATAATATATATATACACACGCGAGTGTGAGAAATATGTTCAGTATTTATACTATATTACATATTAAATATTATATTCAGTATTTATACTATATTATATATTAAATATTATATTCAGTATTTATACTATATTACTATATATTTATACTATATTACTATATATACGCAGTATTTTTTATATTTTGCCTTTAAATTGCTTTTATGAATAAAGATGAACTAAAACTAAACTAAATATCCATGTTTGCAGTGGGACTGTGCTTGCACTGCAAGGGTTAACTGCTTGTTTAGTCTAGGTGACTTGGGCATGCAATTTTACTTACCTGATCCTCCGCTCTTGCAGGCTCCTCTCTGAGCTGTTATACCAGTCCCTGCAGACTCTTTTACCTTGCTCTCTGGCAGTCTAAGGTCCTCTGATGTCATCAAAACCTGTGCAGAGACCATTGCCTTGCATTACGCATAAGGATGCTCAGGAACAGTTCACTGTTGGAGCATGGGGAAGCACTGTGTGGTGGGGGGAGGGGATCAGATAAGTAAAAGCGCTTTGGTTATCGCCTAGACCAGGGGTGGGCAACTGTGGCCCTCTAGCTGTTGGTGAACTACAAGTACCATCATGTCTCTGCCTTTGGGATTCATGCTTGTAACTGTCAGTTTTGCAATACCTCATGGGACTTGTAGTTCTACAACAGCTGGAGGGCCACAGTTGCCCACCCCTGGCCTAGAATAAAAAGATCAGTTAACCCTTGCAATGTGAGTGCAGCTCCACTGCAAAAGAGAATTTTTAGTTTTGCAGTTTATGGCCAGTTTCACATGTGTGTGCTGCATTTTTGATACAGTGCGGGTTTAGAAGTATTTTATAAGTGGTTTTGGCATGCTCCTATTGACCTCTTTTGGAACGTACATTGTTATGAAAGCACATCAAAGACACAAATAAATAACACAGTGCAGCGCTGACAAAACTAAATAATAAATAAATAAATGAATAGTGATCATAATAAATGTAGTACATAATATTCAATCCCCTTGATATCCACATATAAATAAATATAAGTGTATAATAATATATAAATGATTGTGTAATACGTGAATCCCCTTTCACTGGGAATATACAGTGCACATAGTAAAATATTAACCATACACACAATACTGTGAAATAACACACAAAAAAAATGTGCAGACCAACTGTGGACAAATGGTTATAAATAGTCCCAAAAATAACAACACATATAGTGGTACTCCCACTTCACTCTCATGCAGTTGTAGTGCTGTGTGGGTGATTCACAAGTGACAATCCTCAATAGCCAGAATGCCCCCTCACCTCCTTACTTAGACCCCAAAAGCCAGCTCGCTTTGGGGATCAACCGATCCTACAAGGACAGACTCCTCCTAGGGTTCCCTCAGTGGTGGCAAGCGTCTCCAGCCTTCAACCAACTAGCAGCCAGCTCCTCCCAGGATCATAGTAAAATACAAACAAAGACCCTCCATAGTGTAACCTGTTTATTTAAGTATATAATCCAAATAAAAATGCCCACTCACATAGTAATCTACTTGTCTTCAGCTCATCTACCACATGCTATGGGTGTACTGCATGGGTTCTCTGAAAAAGGTGATCCAATATGGCCCCCACGCCGGAAATGACGTCACCACGTTCCCAGAAGTTCCTCCCCGCGTACCGACCCGTTGTGTCACGTTTATCACGTGATTTCCTCACTACAACTGCATGAGAGTGAAGTGGGAGTACCACTATATGTGTTGTTATTTTTGGGACTATCTATAACCATTTGTCCACACAGTTGGTCTGCACATTTTTTTGTGTGTATGATTTCACAGTATTGTGTATATGGTTAATATTTCACTATGTGCACTGTATATTCCCAGTGAAAGGGGATTCTTGTATTACACAATCATTTATTTATTATTATACACTTATATTTATTTATATGTGGATCTCCCTGATGTGGATATCAAGGGGATTGAATATTATGCACTACATTTATTATGATCACTATTCATTTATTTATTTATTATTTAGTTTTGTCAGCGCTGCACTGTGTTATTTATTGGTTTATTCACTTATTGGGTGTAAGGTTAGTGTCAGCAGCTTTGAGGTTAGGACTCCATTTAAGCGCAGGAGGATCCTCGTTACATTAAAGATGCAGCGTGCAGGACTGATGTGCTTTCTTGAAAACGTGTGTTCTAATACAGTTCCATGGAAGTGTCCCTAAAAAAATGTGTAAAACGCACCTAAAAATGTGTCAAAAATGTGCCCCTGGCTTTAAATTCTATCATTACTGAGTAATCAGCAGTGGAAATGTAGCAGTTGTAACCAGGGGCGGACTGACCATTTGGAAACTCGGACACTGCCCGAGAGCCGGGGGTCAGTAGGGGGCCCCATGAGATGCCCCTGGTACCTTTTTCATAGACTTTTTTGAGTTTGGGCAAGGACACAGGGGCCCCATGATCCAATATGGCCCGGGGCCCCATGAGTTGTCAGTCTGCCCCTGGTTGTAAACATTACCCTATTATTTTACATATAGAAGGTAGAAATGGCTTCGTGAATTGGTGCATCTTCAAATGCTATGTCTTGTTTGTTACATTTACTTTTATAGGAAACTTTTATGGTTGTTCTCATGTTTTGCCTGCATTATCCAAATACAATAAAACAATTGTGGAAACTTCATAAAAAGATAGCCATAGGCATTTGACCCTATCAACACAGTGATAAATATATCCTGCAACATTGCAGAAATTCAAATTTTGACTCAGAAATGAGATGCAAGGTGCAGAAAAAATGCAGATAATAGGGTTGTGAGGTCTATGATGGCCAGTTCACACCAGAATGCAGTGCTGGAAACTGGAGTTCTATGCGTGTTTCTAGTACTGCGTTCAAAACGCACTAAACTTGCGATTTGCAATGGGTTTGAATGTTAACTTAGTGCCAGGTCATACCAGTGTGATTTCAGGTGGGGATTTGGTGGGGAAAATCACACCGGAAATCACATCTAATGAATGTGAATGTCAGTGTCTTTACATTTGTGATTTGCTGCAGTGTGATTTCTAAAGTAGTTCTTGCATTATTTTTTCTGCAATTTTGTTGCACTGCAAATTGCAAGAAATCATTGAAAATCTTCACACGTAGCAATAAAGTCTTCAGAAATCGCACCAGAAATTGTGCTGAAATTGCACACAAATCGCACAACTTTAAATCACAGTGGTGTGATCGGTGACTTAATGACACCTCAAATGCAGGATGCTGGCACCAAATTGCAAGGTACAGTAGTACCATGAGGTCTGTGCATTTTATAAAGTATTGTATGCAAATGAAAGGGCTGCAAGTGTACTGCACCCAGATTGCATGTAAATCGCACAAAAACGCACAGCGCGTTCCTGTGTGATTCATGGTGTGAACTGGCCCTGAATGCAGAAACAGAGGGTATGCTCTGAATTTTGTAAGCAGTAAGTGCCCAGTCACGCTGGTGCAATTTGGGAATTGAAATCACACCTAAAATCGCATCTAATGAATGTGAATGTCAGTGTCTTAACGTGTGCGATTTGCTGCAGCATGATTTCTAAAGTAGTTCTTGCATTACTTTTTCTGCAGTTTTGTCGCAATTTCACATACATAGAATATAATGGAAATTGCACAGCAAATTGCAAGAAATCATTGAAAATCTTCACAATAACGTCTTCAGAAATCACACCTGAAATTGCACTGAAATTGTATACAAATTGCACAATTTTAAATCGCAGCGGTGTGACTGGTGAATAAAGCTGGCCATTTTTGTTTCAAAAATATTCATTTGATTTTCTAATCATTAGTGGGGTCAAATCAATATTTGTTTTCAACAGCAAATTCGAAGGGGCAGGAAGAAAACCTTTTCTCCATCAAACAAATTTTCGGCCAGTGTATGTGGTTATCGTTCAGAAATGACATTCGTTTTAAACTCAAATGTTAAAAGCAAAAGACAATTTTTGAACAACATTCGTTCATTCACCAAATGTTCAAAGAATTTTCATACGACTTTTCGTACGAAAATCTACATTTGTGTGGCCAGCAAGGACAAGTGCGCCTGAGCCTGTAAAATGTTAGAACAGAAAACAAATATGCTATAAAATGGTGTTCCATTTGGAATCTGATTACCTATTACTGTACAATATCAGCTGATTTGATATAATTGGCTGAATCATCAAAGCAATCAATACTGCTGCCAACACTGTCAGCTTAAAGTTTAACAGAAGTCACAAAAAATTGCCAACCTGCTGGGAAGTGACATCACTTGATCATCCTAGGCATGATGTAATATATGCAATATGATGGCATAGCTATTTTTGCAATGGATGTGTTTTTCACAGCAGCAGAAAAAATAGATTTGATGTGGAATTTGTCTTTTTTTACAAAAAAAAAAAAAACAGGTCAAAGTGGGAATCCAAGAGAGAGCGAATAATATTTAAGTTATTGTCATATTTATTTATTTTTTTTCCAGGTACTTATATAGCGCTGTACATATATATGTTGTACATTCACATCAGTCCCTAACCCTCAAGGGGTGTACAATCTAAGGTCCCTAACTACATTCATACATACACATACTAGGGACAATATAGACTTAAGCCAATTAACCTACGAGCATGTCTTTGGAGTGTTGGAGGAAACCCATGCAGGCGCAGGGAGAGCATGCAAACTCCAGGCAGTTGGTGCCATGGCATGGATTTGAACCAACAGCCTTAGTACTGCCATGTGGAAGTGCTAATCATTTAGCCACTGTGCTGCTCTATCTTACATTCATACATACACATACTAGGGTCAATTCAGACAGGATCCAATTAACCCACCAGCATGTCTTTGGAGTGTGGAAGGAAACCGGAGTACCTGGAGGAAACCCATGCAGGCGCAGGGAGAACATGCAAACTCCAGGGAGGTGGGTGCCATGGCTTGGATTTGAACCATTAACCTTAGTACTGCCATGTGGAAGTGCTAACCATTTAGCCACTGTGCTGCCCTATGTTACATTCATACACACACATACTAGGGTCAATTTAGACAGGATCGAATTACCTACCAGCATTGGAGTGTGGGAGGAAACCAGGTAGCTGGAGGAAACCGACGCAGGCACAGGGAGAACATGCAAACTCCAGGCAGGTGGTGCCATGACTTGGATTTGAACCAACAACCTTAGTACTGCCACAACCACGGCATCACCTGCCTGGAGATTGCATGTTCTCCCTGTGTCTGCGTGGGTTTCCTTCGGGTACTCCGGTTTCCTCCGACACTCCAAAGACATGCTGGTAGGTGAATTGGATCCTGTCTAAATTGGCCCTAGTATGTGTATGTATGAATGTGAGTTAGGGACTTTAGATTGTACACCCCTTGAGGGTTAGGGACCGATGTGAATGTGCAATATATATGTAAAGCGCTGTGTAAAGTGACAGCACTATATAAGTACTTGTAATAAATAAATAAATAAAGTGGAAGTGCTAACCATTTAGCCACTGTGCTGCCCTATCTTACATTCATACATACACATACTAGGGCCAATTTAGACAGGATCGAATTAACCTACCAGCATGTCTTTGGAGTGTGGGAGGAAACCGGAGTACCCAGAGGAAACCCATTCAGGTGCAGAGAGCACATGCAAACTCCAAGCAGATATTCACAAAACATCTGTTCTTATTGGCTTAAGGTGGCTATAGACATTAATAAGCGTCACCCAATTTCACAGAAAACTTCCAAGAAATGTTTACAAAGTGAGGCAAACAGTCATAACCAAATAAAATAAGAATAGTACAAAAGAATCACAAGGACAGAAATGGTTATTCAGATGAGAAGGGACCAGCTCATCCTGTACACGACTTTACAATCGGAGATCTTGGAGTGACCTCTAGTGGTCATAAAATGTGTTGGTCAAGACTGTATCTAAACCCAGGAACAAAAACTGATAGTAATGCAGCTTACAGGTCCTTAGCAGGGGCGGACTGACAACTCATGGGGCCCCCGGGCAATAGGGGATCATGGGGCCCCTGTGTCCTTGCCCAAACTCAAAAAAGCCTATGAAAAAGGTACCAGGGGCATCTCATGGGGCCCCCTGCTGACCCCGGGCCCTCGGGCAGTGCCCGAGTTTCCAAATGGTCAGTCCGCCCCTGGTCCTTAGATTTGGCAGCTGTAGTTATTTACAAATGGTCCTACTTTTTTCCTTTATTTAATACAGTATTAACACACTTCCTGTTCTAGGGTGACAGTTGTACTGAGAAGTATTGACAAGGAGTGTGTTAAGACTACATAACACAGCAGGGCTTTTTTTCTCCTAGAACAGGCGCAGGAACTCCATCCTTCTGAGTCACCCCTTGTCTCTGCCCCCTATCCAACATCAAGTACTGTTCCTTGGTCTCACCCCTACCCACTTCCCAGTACTGATTATTTCAGAGAATACAGAACCAGGTATAATGTTATAGCATCAAGTCATTTGTATGGAATTTGTTAATAATAACAAGAAAAGCAGTGAATTCAATGCCCTGCAGCCAACAACAGACCCCCCCAGCAACAATAGATCATACCAGCTACAATAGATCCACCCCAACAACAATAACCCCAGCAGCAACAACAGATCTCCCAACAGCCAGCATCAATGACCCCCTCCCTCAATAATATATCTCTCCCAGCAACAAATGACCCCTCCCAGAAACATAAGACCTCTGAGTAACAATAGATCCCCAATCAACAGCAACAGAACCCGCCAGCAACAATGGATTATCATGCAAATATAGATCCCCTCCAGCAACAATAGATCCCTCAGCAGCCAGCATCAGTAGACCCTCCAGCACACTCCAGCGCCCCTTGCCATTATATATTATAAGCACTGAGCAAACTGTTGACGCTACATAAATGGTGTATTATAATAATATTGATAATAAATTCAGTGCGTTCCCCCATGTTCCCTCTGAAACAAAGCCCTGTAACACTGTGTTAAAACTACATAACACCTTCCTCTCTTCTCCATAACAGGGGCAGGTGTTTTGTAGTCTTCAGAGCTAGCAGGAAACAATTTCAGAGGCAGAGAATACAGGACCTTATCAGTTCACAAAATTTCTGCCTGGATGAACAGTTGTTTGTTTGATCTTGCTGAACAGATATAATAGTTTGCTTTCAATGGCATATTTAAGACCAAAAGGGAGCAAATAAGAAAGACATATTGTTATGAGATTTAGAAACAAGTCACATTAGTTTTTTGCACAATTCATAATCACAGCTAATAGATATTCTATTAGGACACTACATTTCCTTCATCTCTGATAACAGAATAGTATTTTAGGGGGAACAGCACTGAGAACATGAGGTGTGCATTATAGCACAAAGAAATGGCCACTGCCCCAATCTACAATTGGCCTTGACAGCAGGAAGCACATCGAAGGGTGAAGCTTGTCAAACAATAACAGAGAAAAATTCCCAGCTCAACTTACAGATCAGCCTGCAACCAACTGCATTCTCCTATCTAACAGCTTGTTCTAAAAATAGGGATTTAGTTTGCACACCTTTGTAAATACATGCATAAGCTGCAGAGCCTCTTCACAGCACCCCGATATTGTGAGGTGTCCATTATAACCTATTTGTGAATTATGCTAATTTGTTATGACTTGCTAATACTAAAGCAGAGCTCCACCCAAAAGAGGAAGTTACGCTTTAAGGCCTCCTACCCTGCTCCTGTTTGTGAAATGGAACTTTTGAGGATGAGGAGGAAGGGGCAGGGGCATATTTACCACAGGGCAAACAAGGCATTTGCCTAGGGCGGCATCTTTAAGGGGGGCAGCGGCATTTTTCATGGGGGCAACGCTGCCTCCCTAAAGAAGGGATGGAAGAAGAGACACACACAGCATGGGGACCAGGTGGGATCTGAGAGAGGCTGCGGGCTGCTTGATGGTGTATGCAGAGCCTGACTCTTGTTCCTGGGGATGTCTGGAGCTGTGAAAGTGAGTGTCTTCTCTCTCGCCGGGGTGGGGGGTTGCCAGTGTACGGGGGGGGGCGGTGGCAGTGCAAGGTTCTATTCTCCGGTGGGGGGGTTGGAGTGTTGTTGGTCAATGTCAGGTACTTTTCATGGGGGAGGGGGGTGTTGGTTGTTGTCAGGGTCTCTGGGGGGGGGGGGGCAATTTTTGTGTTGCCTAGGGCAGCACAAAACCTAAATACACCACTGGGGACCGGGTACCCGATTTTGTCAGACTTCAATCCGACCACCTAGGTGATAAGAAGCACATGGAAGGACGAAGCCTACCAAACAATAAAAGAGAAAAATTCCCAGCTCAACTTACCGACCAGCCTGCAAGCAACTGCATTGTCCTGTCTAACAGTTTGCGCTCCTGTTTGTGAAATGGAGCTTTTTGGGGATGAGGGGGAGAAGGTACCCGATTTTGACAGGTACCCACTCTCACTTCCGATCTGACGACCTAGGTCAGTGGTGGGCAACCTTTTTTTTCAACTGAGCCAAATCTCGCCAAAACCACGATTGAAATTTATTTTGAGAGCCACATTTTTAAAACTGAAAATACATCCCCCATATAGTAATTCATCCCCCATAGTAATTCATCCCCCATATAGTAATTCATCCCCCATATAGTAATTCATCCCCCATATAGTAATTCATCCCCCATAGTAATTCATCCCCATATAGTAATTCATCCCCCATAGTACTATTCCCCCCCATATAGTAATTCATCCCCCATAGTAATTCATCCCCTATATAGTAATTCATCCCCCATAGTAATTCATCCCCCATATAGTAATTCATCCCCCATAGTAATTCATCCCCCATAGTAATTCATCCCCTATATAGTAATTCATCCCCCATAGTAATTCATCCCCCATAGTAATTCATCCCCCATATAGTAATCCATCCCCCATAGCAATTAATCCCCCATATAGTAATTCATCCCCCATAGTAATTCACCCCCCATATAGTAATTCATCCCCCATAGTACTATTCCCCCCCATATAGTAATTCATCCCCCATAGTAATTCATCCCCCATATAGTAATTCATCCCCCATAGTAATTCATCCCCCATATAGTAATTCATCCCCCATATAGTAATTCATCCCCCATAGTAATTCATCCCCCATATAGTAATTTCATCCCCCATAGTAATTCATCCCCCATATAGTAATTCATCCCCCATAGTAATTCATCCCCCATAGTAATTCATCCCCCATATAGTAATTCATCCCCCATAGTAATTCATCCCCCATAGTAATTCATCCCCCATATAGTAATTCATCCCCCATAGTACTATTCCCCCCATATAGTAATTCATCCCCCATAGTAATTCATCCCCCATATAGTAATTCATCCCCCATATAGTAATTCATCCCCCATAGTAATTCATCCCCCATAGTAATTCATCCCCCATAGTAATTCATCCCCCATAGTAATTCATCCCCATATAGTAATTCATCCCCCATGGTAATTCATCCCCCATATAGTAATTCATCCCCCATAGTAATTAATCCCCCATATAGTAATTCATCCCCCATATAGTAATTCATTCCCCATATAGTAATTCATTCCCCATAGTAATTCATCCCCCATATAGTAATTCATTCATCCCCCATATAATTCCCCCCCATATAGTAATTCATCCCCCATAGTAATTCATCCCCCATATAGTAATTCATCCCCCATAGTAATTAATCCCCCCTATAGTAATTCATCCCCCATAGTAATTCATCCCCCACATAGTAATTCATCCCCCAAAGTAATTCATCCCCCATATAGTAATTCATCCCCCATAGTAATTCATCCCCCATAGTAATTAATCCCCCCATATAGTAATTCATCCCCCATATAGTAATTCATTCCCCATATTGTGTCAATTCACTTACCTTTGCTCCGCGCGTTCCTCTCGCCGTGTTCCCGCGCCGTTCCGGTCTTCAGGGCGGACTGTGAGAGGAGAGGAGTTCGTCACGCTGCCCCGCCTACATCCTGAAAGTCAGTGTTTGCCACGCTCGTAGTTTGCCCATTGCTGGGCTAGCTGCAGAGTCCTGACTTTTGGGGCGGCCGCCCGAGAGGAGGGAGGGGAGCGGGCGCCCGGCACACAGAAGAGCCGCATTAAACTGTGTAAAGAGCCGCATGTGGCTCGCGAGCCGCGGCTTGCCGACCACTGGCCTAGGTGATCGGAAGTGGAAGTTCTCCCTCCCCCCCTCCTGAAGTCTTTTGGGACATGTGACAGGTCCCAGAAGACTGTGGAACCATTCACAGTGAGCAGTGCCGCTCGCTGATATCACAGCTGTCACAGATGCCAGCGCTGAGTAGAGAGGACACAAAGTGAAATGGGTTGGGCTGAACAAAGCGCAGGATCGTGGGACAACTGAGTGGCTGCTTATTAAAAGTCAGCAGCTACAGTTTTGTAGTTGCTGAGTTTTAATTTTCACACAGAGACTGGAGCTCTGCTTTAACGCATACAGTACTTGTTTTCTTGATAACTGGATAGGATGTCATCTGTGTGTTAGAAAGTATTACTCCCCATTATGCTATATGTCTATGTCTGTGTCGGGGCGGACTGACCATTTGGAAACTTGGGCACTGCTCGAGGGCCCGGGGTCAGTAGGGGGCACCATGAGATGCCCCTGGTACCTTTTTCATAGGCTTTTTTGAGTTTGGGCAAGGACACAGGGGCCCCATGATCCCCTATTGCCCGGGGGCCCCATGAGTTGTCAGTCCGCCCCTGGTCTGTGTACAAACCCACATGGAAAAAAAATATATCTGAAATATATTTTAAAACTATTCTTTCCAAATATATTGACATATATTTGAAATACATATCTACATTTTTGGAATGCATTTACAAATATATGTAAAAATATATTTTAAAATGACTTTTTTATATGTTAAAAAAATCTGAAGAATATATTTTTATAAAATATATATATTTTTTTTCAACTATATTCTTCAGATTTTCTTAACATATAAAAAAGTAATTTTAACATATATTTTTACATATATTTGCAAATGCATTCCAAAAATGTCGATTTGTATTTTTAAAGACATACAGTATATTTGAAATGTATTTTAAAGATATTTTTCATATATTTTGTAACAAAAACACATTTCAACATACAGTATATAAATATATATATATATATATATATATATATATATATATATATGAAATATATTGAATATGGCCAAAGTTGTAGCATTTCAAATATATGTGAATATATTTGGGAAGAATATTTTTAAAATAAATTTCAAATATATTTTTCTTCCATATGGGTACATATGGCCACAAAACACACACACACACACACACACACACTATACAGTAAATAGTCATGTGAACAAGTACATCCCAAAGTATTTGATATGGCAAACATTACATGTTGATTCAAAAAGTGCCTACAGATAAAGGTGATATACTTGAACAAATGACACATAAAATGGACACTGTATTTATTTGTATCAGCTAAATGAATAGAAATGTTGATGTATCATGAAAAAGTAAGTACCCCTACCACTTCAAATCCATCATTTAGAATTCAGTGTTCCAGATTAGGCGCCAATGATTAGAACCTCCTTAGGTAGTATGCATCTAGGATTTGGTGCTTTTTTTGCTATTGACATGTGTGGTGTCATCATGCCAAAATCAAACAAGCTCTCTAATTCCCTCAGTAAGAAACTCCAGTTTCCCAATGTTCTTTTTTTGTAAATTGGTGCCCAAAATTGAACTGCATATTCCAGATGAGGTCTTGCTAATGATTAGTACAGGGGTAATGTGATCTCTCTCTCTCTGGAGTCTATACCTCCTTTAATACAAGAGAGGATTTTGCTCGCTTTAGAAACCGCAGCTTGGCATTGCATGCCATTATTAAGCTTGTGATCTACCAGAACTCATAGATCCTTCTCCACCATTGATTCCCCCAGTTGTACCCCCCCTAGTATGTATGATGCATGCATATTCTTAGCCCCCAAGTGCATAACCTTACATTTATCAACATTAAACCTCATTTGCCACATAGTTGCCCAATTAAACAGTGCATTGAGGTCGGCTTGTATGTTGGAGAAATCCTGTAAGGACGTTATTCCACTGCAAAGCTTGGTGTCATCTGCACATGGTCAGAAAGGTGGACTTATCTTTAAAGCTAAACCCTTGTCTTATAAAGAATCTGCCATCCAATTGGCAATTTTAGTAGTTCCAGGGCAACATAGCTGTTCATTATCACTACAAGTGCAGTGAATCCCTGTCACTAGCATCCAGTTTTTAGTGTATGGCTTTAGTCAAAGCTTCTCAAACAGGTATTAGCTTTTAGCTGCCAGATTTAGATTTGATACAATTCTTTGGTCGGTGATTTCATTAGGCAAGAACAGACAAGACCACTCAAACAGTCCAACGTATCATTTAACATTCATAAACAATTACTCTATATTGCCACAGAGTTGCTCATAAAATCTGAAAAACATCTTTATGATGGTCTTGGGAAACACAAACACGTCTGTCATGACAGAAATATTGAAGCTTTGTATAGAAGCTGCACATTGCTGGGCCATCATCCTTTTTCTTAGATTTCAGTACTACCCCAGAACAAGTATGCAGGATAAGCATAACAACCCAGGAATGTTTGGATTTTAAAACAACTTGCCAATGGCGGCTTCCAAATTTCCATAATAGCAGATTTGCCTTCACAAAATAAATTGTCTAAGCGTCTTCATTGACTACCTTTAATTAATTGGTAAGACTACAAGAAAAGAGTGCAGCAGGTAAAATTTCTTGTTGCTTTCAGTTTACAAATGACATACACTCACCGGCCACTTTATTAGGTACACCTGTTCAATTGCTTGGTAAACCAAATTGCTAATCAGCCAATAACATGGCAGCAACTCAATGCATTTAGGCATCTAGACGTGATGAAGACAACTTGCTGAAGTTTAAACTGAGCATCAAAATGGTGACGAAAAGGGATTTAAGTGACTTTGAATGTGGCATGGTTGTTGGTGCCAGAAGGGCTGGTCTGAATTGTTCTAAAACTACTCTACGGGTATTTTCACGCACAACCTTCTCTAGGGAAATCAAGACTCATCAGACCAGGCAACGTTTTTGCAGTCTTCCATTGTCCAATTTTGCTGAGCCTGTGCTACTTGTAGCCTCTGTTTCCTGTTCTTAGATGACAGGAGTGGCACCCAGTGTGGTCTTCTGCTGCTGTAGCCCATCTGCTTCAAGGCTCAACGTGTTGTGTGTTCAGAGGTGGTATTCTGCATACCTTGATTGTATCAAGTAGTTATTTGAGTTATTGTTTTCTTTCTAATATCTCAAGCCAGTCTGCCCATTCTCCCCTGACCTCTGACATCAACAAGGCATGTTCATCCAAACAACTGCAGCTCATTGGATATTCTCTTTTTTTGGACCATTCTCTGTAAACCCTAGAGATGGCTGTGCGTGAAAATCCCAGTAGATCAGCAGTTTTTGAAATACTCAGACCAACCAGTCTGGCACTGGTCAAAAAGGGGAGTAAATCCTCAGGAGGGCAAGTGGTTAGTGACTTTGAACGTGGCATGGTTGCCATGTTCAAAGTCACTAACCACTTGCCCTGAGGATTTACTCCCCTTTTTAAACCAGGCCATTTTTTGCATTAAGGTGCTGCGTTACTGTAACTGACAATTGCGCGGTCATGCAATGCTGCACCCAAATTAGATTTATGTCCTTTTTTTCCCACGAATTGAGCTTTCTTTTGGAGGTATTTGATCACCTATGAGTTTTTTATTTTTTGCACGATAAAAAAAAGACCGACAATTTTGGAAAAAAAAACAATATTTTTGACGTTTTGCTATCAAACATGTCCAGTAACAAAATTAAAAAAATCAAATTTCATCATAAGTTAAGGCCAAAATATATTGCATAAATGTAAAATGTAAAAATTAATTGGTTTACATGAAAGTTATAGAGTCTACAAATGGCGGTATAGATACTGGAATTTAAAAAAAAAATTTTTTTTACTTTAACTAGTAATGGTGGCAATCAGTGACTTATAGCGGGGGTTCGGGACTGCGGTGGGCATTCTGACACTGGGGGGAACTGACTTGGTGTCACTGACATCCCCGGTGACACCACTACAATGATCAGTGTTAAAAAAAAAAGCACTGACACTGTACTAATGGCACTGGACAGGAAGGGGTTGACATGAAGGGCGATAAAAGGGTTAACTGTGTGCTGTTTCACTGTAAGCTGTGTGCGTGCTTCACTGTAATCAGATTGCTTTGCCAAATCAGTATGCACGAGCTGACAGGGAATAAACTGATTTATTTACAAACAGTTCTTCTCCCTCTTGGAGATGCTCGGCAATCACTGGGCACTGGCACTGGCGAGTAATCACCTGCTGGAATATGGTGATTGACAGCTGCAGCTGCGAATGGCAGCACAGGTAGGGCGCGCGCACCCCCCCACCTGAAAATACAAAATCATGTATATATATATATACATGATTTTGTGCACCCATGCCGCCCTGCTCTAGGGCAGTCAGGAAACAGTTAATCCCCTTTCTTCCCCATTCTGATGCTCGGTTTGAACTTCAGCAAATTGTCTTCACCACATCTAGATGCCTAAATGCATTGAATTGCCACCATATGATTGGCTGATTAGCAATTTGTGTTACCAATGTTAGCAATTGAACAGGGGTACCTAATAAAGTGGCCGGCGAATTTATTTATAGTTCAAATTTGAAAATAAACCGGATGAACGTAATGGCAATTTTTCAGAAATCAGTCCCATGACACTCTGCTGCACGCTATAAACAGCGGCTCTGTGCATGATGTTTATTTTTTTCAGGGTACATACACCCCAATTGGCATGTAAAGAGAACCTTCCTGTTTTTATTTTGCCAACTAACAATAGGGGACTTCCTCATATGGCTCGGATTTTTTTTTAAAGTTCAAACTGTATTGTTGATATCTATACACATCCCCTTTACTTGCAGGCTTTCTGAACTTATGTAGACTGTAGTAGACAGCTTTTACTCACAGTGGTAAATAGCTCTTTCATACAGCACTGCCTCTTACACAAATAAAGTGAGCCATTTATATAACTAGAGACGGGGTGGATGTAATCATTGAGAGCTACGCCCCACCTGGAGTTAGAATACTCCCAAAACAATCAATCAGATATCAGGGAGAGGTAGTGTAGTGTTGGCGCACCCAAACATAGTGGGGCAAAAGCAAGCCTGTCTGTTTTTAAAAGCTACACCTTATAATAAGAAATATACTCTACATACATACTTTGGCTTGCTATGCTCCAATGGCTTAATCTGGAAATAAACTCACAGAAATAGTCATATAATTCTATTAATGCGGGGGTTAATGGAGCTCACCAGCTGTCATCTATTCCCTGGTTACTTCCAGGTGCCAGGTTCTCAGCCTCTTGATTGGTCAGTTGGGGAATGACATCATCCCGCACATGCGCACGGAAGTCAGTCATTCTTGTATTAGAAGACTGTGAGCAGGCAGGTAATTGTTTGTTATTGCAAATATTTGTGCAATAAAGAGCTGCCTGCTTGCAGTTTTGTACTAGTTTAGTTTAATTTCGCTTTAAAAGGCACACAGAGGGGTTGATTTATTAACCGCTTCCCAACCACCCTATAGCAGAACTACTGCTACAGGGTGGGACGGGTGCGAAAAATCATGTATATATACATGATTTTGTATTTCCGGGTAGCCATTGGCAGCTACAGCTGTCGA